AAAAAAGTATCTAAAAAAGAGTAAAAGCAATAATTATGAAAATTGGACAGAGAAAATTTAATCCTACAAAAACCATGTTTCTAACCTGTTAAAGGGTCTTAGAAATGCAGTAAGTTTATAAAATATACCTCTGAAACTTCCCTTAGCATTTAAAATATTTCAAATGATTTTCTAGAGGCCATTTGGCTTCTTGTCTACTCAATCCACTCACTCTTCCACCCTTCCACCTCTTCAAATAGAGTAACTTCTATTTAATTTAATTTGATGAGTAATTACCAACGTAGTATATAACACATACTAGTTCCTACTGGCTTCCATAGAAAGCACACAGAAAGCACTAAATTAACCCAGATTTGTGTCAAGGCTTTCTCTCTTAGAAATATAACTTTGGTTCAAAATTCATGGACCATGCTTTAGGTCAAATCAATCCTCTAAATTGAGCAAGATAAAGTTCTTTTAAAATTTAAACTAATATCAGGAAAATCTCGACTTTCATTTTTTACTATTTTTAGGTTAAGAACTACCAATTCATCATGCTAATATATACTCTCTCCCAAATAAGAACTGGCTAAATCAAAGCAATTTAGACACGGATAAAGTTGAAGACAAAGAACAAAGGTGAAGGGGGAATATGCAGCTGGAATTGTGAAGTCATGCATTTTACTTGACACACTAAGTAGTAAGTGAATTGATACTTGAATGAGATGGACTGACCCATTCTAGGTAAGAGACCTCAAAAACCACAAATTTGATTTTTACTAAGTTGCTCCTCTTTTTGAGAAAATTTTTTACTAGAAGCCTCATTCACTTTCATTGTTTTAAGCCTTTTTCTTATCTACAGAGTATGGCAATCTCATCCATTTCGATGGCTTGATGCTACCCCATACACATAAATCCATCCACTCCTCTTCATCCCAATTCCCAGTACCTTAGTTTGGGTCAACATCATGTCTCATTGGGATATTTACAATAGTCTTCCAACAAGTCTCTGTACCTCCAGTTCTAATTGGTTCAGGTGATCTTTACTGGTTCTTAGACTTTTTAAAAAAAATATAATCTCAGGGAAAAAAATTGAATGTTATACAGTTACTAGCACTAATATTCTATTTTGGGATGGTGTATTACTCTGGGTTCTCCACAGAAAAATATATATGCATACGTATAAAGAGATTATAAGGAATTGTCTCATGATTACGGAGGCTGGCAAGTATAAAAATCTGCAGAGCTGATGTCCCAGTTTGAGTTCAAAGGCTGGCAGGCTACTATAGGACCAGGAAAAGCCAATGTCCCAGCTCAAAAGCTAGATAAGACAGGAAAACCTGATGTTCAAAGCCAGAATTTCCCCTGGCTTAGGGAAGAGTCAGCCTTTTGTTCTATTCAGGCCTTTAACTGATAGGATGAGGACGACCTGAATTATGGAGGGCAATCTGCTTTACTCAGTCTACCGATTTAAACATTAATCTCATCCAAATATATCCTTACTGAAAAATCCAGAATAATGTTTGAACAAATATCTGGGCACCTGGGGCCCAGTTGACACGTAAAATTAACCATCACAGATGAGGAGAGTAAATAAATTGATAAATTTAAATATTAATAAGTCTAAGAGCTAGGTGGCTAGATATGGTATAGTATACCAATTTTGGTGTCAGAGATTTACAGGCAATTATTTTATCTCAGCCTCTTTTCTATTTTATAAACGGTAATAATATCACTTTTCTCAAAGAGATGATTTTCATGGTTACATGAAATGTTTATAAAGGTCCTAACAGAGTGCCTGGCACACATTTTGTACTCAGAATTTTTGAAACCACATTATTTTTAATGTTAAACTTTTCAGAGAAATATAATTTCTCCTTAACTCTCACAAGTTCATCACTGGGACAGACCCCTGTAACAAAAGACAGATTAACAAGAGAAAAACAAGCAAGTTTGTTAACACAGTGCACATCATGTAAAAAATACAAAGACAAACCAGACTACAAAAAATAGTTGAAACATTCATAACAGATCATTAGTATTCAAAATATGTAACATCTAGAGACTGACAAGGAAAAGACAAAATAGAAAAATGTGCAAGAGATGACCTCAGAAATCACACAGTGCATTTCCTCAACATCCTGGTTGTTACACAAGTCAGCACTATACAGGGGCATGAAGACCAGGAGGCAGGACATCACTGGGACCATCTGGAGGGTGATTACCAATACATAAGACATATTTTGTAGTGCTTTGAATACATGTATCAAAAATATAAAACACAAAATAGAATATCTACCTCTAGGATAATGGTTACCTCTAAGGAGTGAGAAAGGGGATAGGATCAAAGAGGTAACAAAGCAAGCTTCAAATGTATCTAACATTTACATTCATATATGTATATCTGAAGAAAATATAGCCAAATGCTAATATTTATTAAATCTGCATGGCAGGAATACATG